TTTCTGAACAAGAAGATGACAGGGTATGTTCAGGAAAAATTTAGGAAATCTCAATGTAGCTAAAAAACATTGCGTACCATCATGGTTGTCACCTATTTCAGTTTTAGCTTGCAAGAAATTCAAAAATAGTGTAAACCAAAAAGATCTAATGACATTCCGAATTAAAATAAATAAATTTTCTTTATGAATATGCAACGTTAAATCATAGAATTTAAATATTTTACCTGCACAGTAGCCAGCGTGAACATCAAACGATGATTTTTGGAGCTTGTAAACATAGAAGCCATGACATCTTCGTACAAGAATAGTGGTGTTATATTTACAGCAATTGCCATCCCAGTTAAAACACACAGTACGACGAACTACTCCGTCTTGAATACCCGGATGAGAACCAAGCAGCCAGCCGGTGGCCTGGGTTGAACAGTGCATGGAAGGAGTACAAGACTCAGGGATCTATAAAATAAAGTATGACGAGTAAAATGAAAATTAAGAAAGGTGATGGAAGACGATGACGATGATGATGATGACGATGTTGATGAAAATGCTGATTAAGCTAATTAAGCTGCTGCTGATGATCTAAAAAAGTGGAATTGCGATGAAGGTGGTGTTGAAAGATGACGACGATAAGGATAATGATGATGATGAAGAACGTTGGTAGTGTGACGGAGGTAGTAATGGAAGATGACGACGATGATGACGATGGGGATGATGATGATGATGATGCTCAAGAAAGGTGATATTGTGATGAAGAGGTTAATGGAATATGATGACGAGGATAATGATAATAATGATGATCAATGAAGGTGCAGTGTGATGAAATTGGTGATGAAAGATGAAAACGATACTGACAAATTGAAGAATGGAGATTTTAGTTGATATGATCTAATCCTCATCATTTACTATGTAATAACCAATACTAATCTGCGTAGCATTGGAGGGTTGGAGCCAATCACAGCGCGTTTAGCTGTTTAGCCCTCATTCTCAGGCTACTGTAGCCCATCTTTTGTGTATTTTTCTATTTTCTTTTGAATAAAATAGAATAAACTTGTATGCAAGAAGCAAAAACATGAAAAGGAAGAATAAAAATAACTTCACTTTATCGCCATGTTTGTTTTGTTTTTTCAAGTTCCAAAACTGCTTAGGCCGGTCATTTTGTCCACTCAGCTGGTAATAGCTGTTGACTGGATTCTAAAGTCGCTTTAGACACATATTTACTTACCTGCATAGATTGAGATGTAACAGGATCCTGGAGGCGGAACCACACAGACTCATTCACAGACGTGTCATTGGAAGCTTGATCAGGACTACTAATAACATCGTTCAAGGTTCGTTTGGTAGCAAGTATATGGTGCTTTGCACACATTCTGTGCCATGACACTCCTGGAAAAACGAATCTTTTTATTATGGATTTGCATATGTAGTTATTAATGGAGAATAGACAGAGCTCAAGTGGGAATCAAGAGTGGCATTGGAGTAGTAAACTTGTCTCTTTCACTTCCAATTCCTGGACTCCACAATCACGTGTGAATAAATTTTGGACTCTTTCTTGATCCGAGGGTAAATTCTAATTCAGTCCTTGAGTTAACCGTGCCCTTACTTTAATCAGCCCAGAGGTTGTTTTAGGGTTCAATCTGTAAGTTAGCCATGCCCTGACTTAGATCAGCCCAGAGGCTGTTCTAGGGTTCAATCTGTGAGGTAGTTGGCCCCTTTGATCTGAGGTTGTTTTATGGTAACGGTCGATAAAATATCAGATTTAGTTCAGTTATATTTCTACTATCACACCACATCTGTAATGTGATTGGATAAGAGTAGAGTAGACTATGTTTCTACTATCACACCTGTAATGTGAAACTGATGGAAATCTGATCCATGGATATTCGAGACGATGCATTCCCATTTTGATTGATTGCGGTTTTCGTTCAGCTCGTTTTCCTTGAAGACTGATGTGGTTGTGGTGTTTTGATGGATGACTCCGTCTCGTACCCAGGCCACAAAGGGTTCTGGGTAACCAAATACAGGACACGTCAAAGCGGTTGGGAGTCCCTGAACCACGGTGGGGCCTGGCTGATCAATATCTATGATGGCTGAAAAAACAACCAAGCATGAAATCAATTTATAAATTAAAACTGAATGGACAATAACAAAATGAAGCGTGCAATATTTATCAAGTTCATACTATAAACTAATTGCGATTTTGAGACCGCAATAGCACGAAATATTGACGACTAGTTGGGAGAAAATATATGCCGTATTGGGCGGTGTCGAGAAGCCCAAAACCGTCAATATTTTGTGGTATTGCCGTCTCAAAATCGCAGTTAGTTTTGTATCGCGATTCTAATATTTTTCAATTAAATAAGGATAAAGGAAAAAAATAAAATAAAATAAAGGAAAAAGCCAGAGAAGTGATAATGATTTTCTTCAGATTCTCACTACCTGACAGTCGTCTCTCTAGCAAAGGTTTCTGGAAAATGCTCGTCGTTTTTGAAAACTTTGTATGTTTTCTTTGTTTTCATCAAAATTCCACTTTCATTATGA